TGTAACCCCCAGCCCGAAGCGCACACCCCCCCCCCCCTTTATTAAAAAACCCCCCCAAAAAATGGGATCCCCCAAAGTCCACGGTATAGTTCGAACACTGAGTACAATGGCCTCTTATATTTCAAAAGATCAAGGGAATTTTGGCTTCTCAGGTCATTACCCCTTTAAAATTCTTTCAAAACCACATGAAATTAACTTAAAGTAGTAAATTTCTAATATAATCTAGATTTTTTTTAAAGTCTTTTTAAAAAAAAAATTTTTTATCGTGGGTGCTCTTATTATTTTTATTTTCATTGACCCAACTATTCAGCCTCGCACTGCACAACCATTTACAACTATTTAAATGTTTCCAAAGCTTTGGAAAAGATGAATGTGCTTGATATAAGTGAGAGTATGCAGATCACACGTTATTAGAGAGGACAATTTAGATGAGCTGGCATAAATATGAATGAAACGAGTGAGCTAGAAAAGTGTTCAGCAGCAGCACAATGTGCTCCTCTCACCGCTGGGAATACAGAACTGCTGATCGGTAGGGAAAACCAAACTACTCTAAATTCAAACCACAAGAGTTCAATCGTCTACAAGAGAATGTCAAATATCTGTAAGTGTGTTATTTGCTGCGTGAAGCTCATTGTAAATTCAGACTGGGCATCAGTTTTTTAATGTGCGGGCAATTTCTGACACTGCTAGAATGACCGGAAAATGTTCAAATATGGCAAACTATATAAAAAGGCTAATATTCAAGCCTGATGTTGCATTTTTCTTCATTAATAAGAGATGTTCATACTGTTTATGCAGCAGTTTCATTTTTGCAATGTTTCTACTAGAATTTATGGACAAGTAAACAAGCAGCAAACCGTTTGTGAGTCAATACTTAGTGCAAAAACACTGTATTCTTTCCCGTTTGGTTCAGAAGATGTTTGACATTGAGCTGTGTGGCTATAGTACATCATACTGTAGAGTCTTTTCTGGCTGTAGGCTATAGCTGTGAAGAGGTCAGACAATCATTGAGGTCTGGTTCCACAGAGAAAGGTCACTTAGCCTATACATCTGTTCCAGCCCAGCAGTCTTCAGATACTATCACAGCAGCAGGGCCAATTCCTTTTATCGTTAACTAGTTCCTCTTCTTCCTCAACTAATGAGAAATCTGATGGATCGATTTAACTTCTACTGTGGTGTAAAAAATGTCTTTTACCAAGAGTAGAGATCACATTTTGCCCATCATTCACAAAGGAACATGCATTTCCAGTATGATCTCATCATGGCAATTTGTAACTATTTTACGTTTTGGCAAATTTCTGGCTAATTCGTAGGAATTTGTACTAGCTCATTTTTATGTTTTCATATGATCTGCTTATGCCTCACTGACAGTTAAGTTTAAATGAACCTTCATGATTTTTTTTTTTTTTTAAATCTTACATTTTTGCACATTAATTTGTAGCATCCAATTCATCAAAATTAATACAATTAGTACAAATTAATACTAAAACGACACCTCATAAAATAGCTGTTTTCTCGTGATATTGGGTTGGTTGCTACTAATGGTAATAAGGATAAAACTAATAAATTAAATATTAAATTGAGCATTTTCTTTTCGTTCTTTCTTTCTTTTTTTTTTAGTTGCACACTTTGTATCTATCTTTGTTGGTAGGAGTTTTTTTTTTTTTTTTTGCTTAATAAACCATTTATTGTCACTTCGTAACTATTTTACTTTTGGCGAAATGTTGGCTAATTCATATACATTCATACAATCTTATTTATTCATTTTTGTACAATCTGCTTACACTTCACTGTTGGTTAGGTTTAGGGATGGAGCTTCATGCTTTTTAAAAAAAAATCGTATATTTTACGTATGAGTTTGTATGACGTGAGTTGTAAAATATTTGTTTTCTCATGATATTGGGTTGGTTGTTGCTAATGTTAAATAGGACAGAACTTGAAGGAAATTGAAGGTGACACTTTAGTTTAGGTGCATTTACTTATTATCATGCATATTACTAGCATATCGGCAGTTTATTAGTACTTATAAATCACATATTAATGTCTTATGCAGCATGACCATATTTTAGATCCCTTAATCCTACCTATACCTAAACTTAACAACTAACTATTACTAAGCAGCAAGGAGTTTATTAAGGCAAAAGTCATAGTTAATAGTTAGTTAATAGTGAGAATTTATCCCCAAACTAAAGCACTAAATATTATATTTAGCGTTTTCATTCATTTATTTACATTTTGCACTTGTTATCTGTCTTTGTTGGTAAAAGTTTTTGTTTAATAAACCATTTATCATTGCAATCAAAAAAAAGTGTAATACATAAATGTAATACATGAGCTCTGAATATAGTCATGCATTGAGTGTTTTCTACATTATCCCTCCCGTATCTTTTTTGCTCTCTGAAATTGATTATATTGTATGCAATAAAAAGTTGCAATATTACCTATACGACCAGTATATGTCAGCAGTCACCTCCTAAGTAGGACAGGTTAAAGTGGTGTCGTTTCTCATAAGGAACATAATGGAAGGTGACGCACCTCATATGTTGAGCACGTGGATGAGACATATGAATAGTAGGAGTGGTGCTTCTGGAATATTTGCTCCAGTGATGGGTGCTCAGGCATCAGAAACTGCCTCTTTAACACTCTCTTTATTGGTCCTTTTCCCAGCACCTACAGCCAGAGCGTGACATTTCTGCCACGTTCTGAGCTCCATGTCAATAGCCAGTGAATTTAATACCGTTAAATAGACCACATGGCTGAGCAAACTGCCTGTCTGATCATTTTTCCAAGACACATTGAGTGGTCATGGTGGAGGAGTAATGAATATATATATATATATATATATATATATATAGATCCTCATCTTTACACTACATGTTTACATGTAATATGATCATGATTTATTTGACAGAGCAATCTGCATGATACTTTAATACATGTATCAAATATGGCAGCCCTATCTGTGTTATGACATGTTTCATGGGATTTTGACACAGACATAATCTTTCAGATGGGTAAACTAGAACTAAACAGCTCTCCTCATGTTTACACCAGCCACGAATCTACAAACGTTCACATTTGACATTTGACTTTAATTTTTTATTGACAACTATGTGTAAAATGCATTAACAACTCAGTTCAGACCTTTCAAACTAAATAAATTACTATATAAAATTTGGTCATAGATTTACACTAGTGCAATCATTTGAAAGACATAATTGATGATCACATTCATTTACAGAATGAGATGACATGGAGCTCCAGTCCTGGTTGACGGTGGGAAAGAGCGGACAGAGAGGCTTTACGCCAAGCACCATTATTTATTTTCATGTTCAACCCCTATCCATCACCGTGTTACGACCCTGTCCAGTCCCAGCGCTAACGCCACATCTTAAAAGCTTATTACGGCGACCCACCTTCCTCGGAAATATGATTGACGTATCGTGGAAGAAGCGAGGCGGGGCCAACAGCGCGCTCTCGTCCAATCACGGCCGATGGGCGGCGCCCCATCGCTATGTGCCAGTGTTGGTGGGCGGAGCCTCTCGTTATGTGTCAGTGTTGCCAACAGACCTGTGCGAAACAAAAGCACTTCTCTCCCCACGTTTAACGCCTTCAAAGCGCGTCTTAAAGCTGTTTCAGTCGTAAAGCTGTCAAAGGAAACAAGGAGTTACGCGGCAGAGTCACAGATTACACAGGATTACAGCAGCCCTTAGACAAAGTTGGGCTCTGCTGTCTTGGCTTTGGTGGCAAGAGCAGGAGTGGCTTGATCCTAAAGCAGCTCTCCAGATCAGATTTCACCCAAACCAGCTGTGAGAAGGAGCTTTGCCTTTTCTCCCCTCTCTCCATGTTGTAAACGCGCTCCTGACATCCAGAAAAAAAGGAGAGTGACGGAGAGAGTTCCTGAAGGAATTTTCCTTCTCCTAGGCGAGAATTGAAAAAGTCACCAGAGTCTAGAGAACAGCGGCGAGGATGGATGATCAGCCCCGGTTGATGCACTCCACTCACGGGGTGGGCATGGCCGGACATCCCGGCCTGGCGCAGCATATGCAGGATGGCACGGGAGGAGCGGACGGCGAGGGAAGAAAACAGGACATTGGAGACATATTACAACAAATCATGACCATAACCGACCAAAGTCTGGACGAGGCACAAGCCAGGTATATATCCAAGAATGTATGCATGCTGTCTCAGTGTTATTAACTTCATAGTAACGTTAGCTACTGAAACACGTCGACAGTGTTGAACAAGTCAGCTGCTTTATATTTTGACGCGCCACCCGAAGCGCACCGACTTTCTTTTCGCGTCTTCTTTCAAACTTTTATCCTGGCGTACATTTTTATTTTGCATTACAAACATGTTACAGTCACCTCCGAGTGCTTCTGTGCACAATCTCAGCTGTCTTCTTCTTCTTCCCAGATGCATCGTTTCGATTTCCAATTGCTCTGGATCTCGCAGGTTACAAATGAGAAAGCGCATTGATTCAGTGCCATATAGACTTACTACACGTTGCGGGTGGATTCAGTCCTAGTTTATTATTTATTGGACTGCAAGCACCTAAGAACTGAGCAAAGAAATAAATGTTACCAAGTATGCATATTTAAAGATTTTTAATCGTACGTATTTATAAGAAGGTCCATAAATGTACAATGACAAAGAGGCTACAGTCTTTCTGTCGTCTACTTGTTGTGTATAGAAGGAACGTTGTTAAATCTGTTGCTTTCTATATAAATATTCTATTCAATAAAACACATGGACTTAGTAGTAATTAAATAGTAATTAAAATCAATAAGGTAGCTAGTTGAATTTATATGACACTTGACCCTATTAGCCTTAGCAACTGTCAACACAGGTGTTTTATAAAATACTTGCAGATATTTTACTTTGGAATAATACTTACAATTGGATTTGTAGTAATTACCACACATATTAAAGTACTCTTATGCTGATATGTACTTTATATTTGTGGTTTAATATTACTTCATTTTGTGTTGTGCTATTTTCTGGAAAAGGAATGTAACTAGTCGCCTTATATGAGAATTTGATAGTAATTTTGCTTTGCAATCCAATTTATGCTGCCATCTATAATGCACGTGAAATATTCGGACAGTTTTTTTGCTCATTTAACACATGCAACACTCCCAAAAAGTGCTGCACAATTTAGAGCCATTTGTCAGCTGTCTTCTATCAAATACCATTTGTAAAATACTCAAAAACACATTTCCATCAGACATAGCAGACATCCCTTCTAAGCCTAATGTCTGTGTTATGACAGTTTTGACAGGTCATACATAGTGATGGCTTGATATTTATTTTCTGTTTGTGTTTTTAGGAAACATGCACTGAATTGTCACAGAATGAAGCCGGCGCTATTCAACGTCCTGTGTGAAATAAAAGAAAAAACAGGTGGGTTTTCCTGTCTTACAGTACATAGAGAACAGAAAGCAAAACCTTGCAAGTGCTACTACCCTTTGTTTAAATCCAGTTATCACATTAAGCTGAATATTGAAATATTGATTTTTTTTTTGCTACAGAGCTCTTTAATACAGTGATGTATTGCGTGTCTTGTGAGAATGTGCGTTATTAGATATTTAGATAGAGGAGAATTTGCAGTTAGAGTCAAGACTGCACCATGTCAAAGTTCTGATATTACAATAATAACACAAAAATTCATGCTATTCAAATAATGTGTGATTCATACCACATTCAGATTCCTCAAATAGATAGCTATTATTATTTTGTGTGCTAGGATTATATTTTTTGCAGATGAGCTGAAGTGTATTACTTTAATGCAGCATTTTACATTGTATTGTATCATTGGTTATGTTATGTTGCATTGAGCGCTATGATGAGGCTTTTTCTCATTTTATTTTTCTCTTATAGCCTACAGTATATGATAATATCAATGGCTTTAGTTTGAAAATAGGATTTTAGGATGTTATTTTACTCATTAAATTGCGATTTTGACTGTTAGCTTTAAGTTACTCTGCCTCATGGTTTTGATAATGAGTTTTATAAACTCGACTTATTGCGACATACCATTTTTTATTTTTTGCTGCGCTGTCTGGCTAGATGCAGATTCTAAATTGTTCATGGATATATTTTGAAGTTTTTGTGTGCATAAAATGTAGCTGGTTGAGTAAGGCACTTTAAAAAGTCCACCAGAAGCGCTATTCATTAGAGTGAAATGAACATGCTGTTTTGATTATGCGATCGTCCCTGAGTGAAGGTTTTTTGGGGCAGATTGCTACAATGAGAAACAACAACAAATGTTAAAAAAACACTGCCCTATCTTCTTTCTAATTAGCCCCAAAGTGTAATTTACAAAGATTTCATTACATGGAAGCTGAATTTGGCTCTCTGCCACACTGTCTAAAAGGCACTGCAGTGGAAAGGTTCCCCCTTCCTCAGTGAGATTCTGACCGACTGAAGAGGGCTTCGGAGAGCCACTGTGTCAGCGATCACAGGGGCCTCATGGCACTAGGTTCGCTTTTTTCCCTCCTCTTGTTTAGCAAGGTTCTCCAAGGAGGGAAAGAGTTATGCCTGACTCTTTTGAACTGCCTGGCGTCACCCGGGGTTCACTCAAAGTTCGTTTCCAAGATGAAGAACAAAGTGACTTGGACCTCTTCCTGGCTTTTTGCTCCTGCTTCTCTTCCCACAGTTCCTGGCAACCAGGAACCTGCAGGGCTTTTGACTGGAGAGATGAACCCGTTTAGACTCCAAACATGCTATAAAAAATGTTCGATTATGAAGATGGGGCTTTTTTGGTCGAATTATAGTTGTGATGTCGCACCCAACCTGAGGAGTGTGTAAATTAGTTGTTTGTTTCGTCTATCTTCTTTTTATCTCCGTGTACAATGTGAGATGCCCCCCACCCCCACACATACACCTCATGTTGAGCTTTTGTTTGTTTTTGAACACAGCCCTGGTGTTGTTTTTGTCAAGGGGGTTCATCTCAGCTTACTTGGTTGTGCCGCGGTTGCTTTTCTCTCTCAGGACTTCATTAGGTGCATCGGATCATCAGAATCAATCCTACTTGCATTTGATCAGTGTTTGTATAAAAATAATAACATCAACTGATTCCCATTTTTTTTTTTTTGTTTCATTTCGAAAACACAAAAAAAAAAGTTTGGGCTTTCCAGTTGTTGAAGGAAGTGGGAGGAAGGATATTGTCAAGTGGATCAGGAGGGCAATATATATATATAAATGTAAAATATAAATATATTTATTTACACCATCAAAGATCCCGCCACAAACATTTGTAAACTATTTCTGTAGTTTTTTTTAGCTCTGGCCTGGGAATTGAAAGAGAAAAAATGATTTTTGATGCTTTTAAAGTAGATTCTATTGATAGTAGCCTGGTTGTGACTTAAGAAAACACTCCGAAAATAGAAAGGAAAAAAAAAAAGATTGATACAAAAAGAAATGCTGTCGGGAATATGGTTTAGCAAACGCTGAAAATAAATGAACTCAAGCCTCGATGGTTGATTTGAAAGGTCCTTGTACATTAAACCCCCCTATGCTCTCTCCTACAGAATTAGCCGTGAGCTGTACCTCGGTTCACTTCTGTCTCTTTTTAATGTGAGGGTGTAATTTCACACTGCACAGACACCACTACAAATCCAGCGCCGCCACAGAGAAAATGGCTCAAACCTCCGCCGTGACATTTACTGCAAATGTGCTGAGTGCAGAGCGCCCAAACGAGAGCAGCCACCATTTTTGTAGGGGCCTTTTTAATTTTTTTTTTAAATAAAGAGTCAGCCTCATTCATGGTTTTACATTGTTGCAGCCGTAGAGTCCCAGGTGGTTTCCAGAAAAGCGAGGTTATTAAATCCGTAGCAGGTCTGTTTTGTTGAAATGGCAACAGTGGTGTCTTAGCTTTCATAACAGACTGTGGAGGTCATGGAGCCTTGCCTCAATGAAACAGTGGCTCTGTGTTTTAAAAAAATGAACTTTTTGTGCTCACAATAACCTTGATTTACAAGAACTTTGAATGTTTGGAACAACGGCGTCGTCACCTCAGGCACCTCAGCCTGCTGCTTTAAGCGCAACTCGTAATTCCTATTCAGACACGACACAGTTTCTTCGACAGGAACAATAAATTTTCACTCCGCTAATATATTTCATCTGCAGACGTGTTGAGAGAGCACGAAATGACACGGCTCCTGTAATTCTTCGTAACCTACGGCCGTCTTGCTGAGATTGACACGGCTGGCTGTGAGTTGCCCGGCGCACACCATGTGTTGCGTAGCGTCGTGGTGTTGACAACCGTGCGGGGGGACGCCGTGGTGATGAGCCCTCCTCTGGCAAGCAGCTGACAAGCGGGGCAGTACGGTGTGCCAGCAGCAGACAGAGCCGGCTTGAACTCCTGACCTCGCCGTGTATTTTTACACAGGGCCTGACCGAACTAACACAGCACAGGTCGGCGTGCGAGTATAAACATGTATTGCGGCTCACGGAACAGGATGTGATGCTGGGTGGGGGCTTTTAAACAAGGCTGCTTTAGTGCCGCAAGTGTTTCGGATTATTTAAAGCCTTCGTGTATTTGTGTGTACTGCATGCTCTTGGAAATGCAAGGCCGCTGTGTGTGTGTTTGAATTGGGTGACTGGCACATATAGATGGTCGCGTATGGAAACGTTGACAATGACATTAACTTGGATGTTTGTTGGTATCGGGTTTCAGCTCCTTTTACCCTTGGGGCTTTCATCAGGCCTGTTTCACATGGACATACATTTTGCCCGATCATGAACAGAGCTTTGAAAAATAAACTTAAACTTAGCCTGAACTCGCTGAACCGTAGAAGGTCGATGACAGAAAAAAAATGGCCACTAAAAAGAAAAGGAAAAATCTTTTTAAAATCATGTTAGGGTTAGGGTTAGTTCAAGCTGGTTTCATGCAATTTCAAAAAACTTTTAGAAAAGTTTAAAAAATGTTTTCCTTCTAAAAATGTCATGTGTTGTAACTAACAAGTAAAACTTATAACATATTTTCCTTAAAAATTCAATACATGTGAGTACACACATTTTCAAAAAATATATTTTTCAAGGTAAAAGGTTTTTCCAGATATTGTGATGTATTATTAATAAATCTCATTACGTTTTTGAGGATTCAGTTGGACCACATTACATTTTACAGCTTGAACTAACCTTGCCTTGTCATAAAAATGATCTGATATTTGAAGTAATGTATTGGCCTAGACACATAGTCGTGAGGGTCTGCTGGGGTTTTATGCCCTAAAACATTTATAATGAATTTTAATTGAGAAATTAAAAACATTCTCCACATAGTATACATGTATTCAAGTCATTAAATCTATAAATTGGATTTTTAATGCATTTTTAATAATAGACAGACAAAAATGAGTTCATTGGTGAGTGTTAAATGTGGCAACTTTGTGTCAGTTGTGGTGTATAAAGTCGCAGTGTAACATTGGTAGCGAGATATATTTTCTTACATATTGTGACAAACAATATGTAAGTGAAACTGAGTGAAACAGATTATCGAAAAAAATAGAACATAGGGCGGGGACGTTTTGGGTTCTGTTTATTGGTTATTGATTGGCTGGCGGTAGATCTGAATGCAAGATTGCTGTCGATTGTGAGAAAGAGGTGGGGTTTAAGTAGGGCTGGACGATATGGCCAAAATTTATATCACGATATATTTCTTAATTTCGGTCGATACGATATAATTCCGATATCGATATGAACACTATTAAAAAAGCCTCAAAAACGGCCACAACAGATGTCTGTACCTACAAACTTATGAAAAATTAATTTGCCAACTCTATGAATCCTACTCCTATAAAACTATAGAATATTTTAGGAAAAAAAATGGCGCAAATAAATAAATGTTCACCTTTTATTGGTATTTAGCCTTCATACAAACAATAAATGTGAAATCACTGTCAAATAAATCTCAGACTCTCCTTATTAATATTAATATTTTTTACTTCAAACTATAGGCTAACATACCAGTCAAAAGTTTTTGAACAGTAAGATTTTTAATGTTTTTTAAAGAATTCTCTTCTGCTCAGCAAGCCTGCATTTATTTGATCCAAAATACAGCAAAAACGGTAACATTTTGAAATATTTTTACTATTTAAAATAACTGTTTCTTCAGTTATTCTTTTGTAACATTATAAATGTCTTTATCATCAGTATCATAAAACATCTAAACTTGCTAAATGAAAGTAATAATTTCTATAATATACATTTTAAAAAGAGCTTTTGAATGGTAAAGTGTACAAAACCTTTTTATTTCAGATAAATGCTGACCTTTGGATCTTTCTACTCATCAAAGAATCCTGAAAAAATTTACTCAACTGTTTTAAATATTGATAATCAGCATATTAAAATGATTGCTGAAGGATCACGTGACACTGAAGACTGGAGTAGGCTTAATGATGCTGAAAATTTTGCTTTGATCATATGAATAAATTACATTTTAAAATACATTCAAATAGAAAGCAGTTATTTTACTGCTTTTGGATCAAATAAATGCAGGCTTGGTGAGCAGAAGAGAATTCTTTAAGAAACATTAAAAATCTTACTGTTCAAAAACCTTTAACTGGTAGTGTAGGCTGATTATTCTTATAGATTGAAACGTGCATTAACCAGGATAACGAGTATGAAACCTGCTCCGAGTTGCTTCAGAAAACAAAAAAATAGAGCAACAACAAAAGCATGTTGCTGGAAATGGGTTTATTATTGAAAATGCAAACTGCTTGTCTGCCAGCAGGAGGCGCTGTGAGAGCGGTGGAACTAACGGGTTTCTCCAGTAATGGCTGTAAATAAAGCAGCTCCGCTCATGAACGCTACTTTATCAGATAAAAATGCCATCTAAACTATTCTGAAGACAGTCGGTTCCCTTCAGAGATACATTCATATAAAACACCCGCGACGCGTTTTGATTTTGAAACGTGCAGTGCTCATGTTTATTCAACGAAGTCAAACGGCACAAATAAATCAATGTATGGGAAACACTGGTAATGTATATCGAAATATCGGAAATGTGTTTAAAAATCATATCACCGTTATTGAAAAAAATTATATCGTGATACATATTGATATTGAAT